TTATGTTGATGTGATACTGTGATAGTGATAACCACAATGCCATTTCAGCAAAGTTAATGATCATATATTAACACCGTCTATCTTAAAACACACTATACAAGTGTAATATTCAAAAAGTTTGTTGTAAAAGATATTGGCCATGTTTGATAATATAGTGAGTTTATTTGTCAATTTTGACTTATTTGACCACTATTAGCTGTTTGATTTGGTTAAACAATCAATTAAACAATCAATATGAGTATTTGATTAATTAATTTTTTTGTGTAACAACTTATTGCTCAAAAATGTTAAAATTCAAAAAGCTGTTTAAAGTAGCTTTTTTTGATAAGTTTTTTGAGAAATTCATTTGGCATGTAATAAGCTATTAGCAGCTAATTTACAAACACTTTTCTACAATCAGCTAATGTTATCAACTAGTTAAACTCATTAACTCAATCAGCTAACAATTATTTACCAAACAACCCATTAACTAATTTCTTGGTTGTAAAAGTTGGTTATTGGAGATAGTCAAAGATACCAATCAACCATGATGTACGTGTTCATTGAATAGATTGGATTGTTGACATAGTCGGTGTAAATTCAAGACTAGAGGTGTTCAATTCATTGAAAATGGCTTCTAATTTGTAGTGTCCACTAAAAAAAAAGGTCAAATTTAGTGAAGTGTGATATTATTTAAATAAAAAGGTACATGTGATTGAACCATTATAGATATTGAATTCTATTATTTCTTATTATAAATAAATTTAATACCTATCATTGTTACGATTTGTGTTGTAAATATAAATATTTTCTTTTTTTTTTCTTCTTCTTCTTCTATATCTAGAAAAATAAAATAAAACGATAAATTAAACTCATCATTTCTCAAGTACACAGTGGGGGTATTGAAACTTGTTGTGGACGATAATGTTTGGCGCGGCTAGGCCTCATGTGTAATGTCAAACCACCTAATGGGCATGCCATGTGTATTGCTAACTTTCAATCATGTCAATTTCATATATATGAATGTAAATATCCTTTAATTTCCATTTCAATTCACTCCTTGCCGTTAATTAATCAGGTTAATTGGCATGAATAGCCGTGCACTTTCATCCTTTAAGAGAGGTCGGGAAGTCGAACCCTCTCTCGTATGAAAAAATCAATATGGCCAGTACTTTTGCTCCTTAATTGGACCGACCTAATGCGAATGAGGATTAATCTAAATATGATAGGGGTTTTAAAGGTGTCTCCTACAGTTAGAATCTGCTTATGACACATCATGACTTGTCCAAAAAAATTCACTCCTTACCGGCATGGCGGCATTCACTTCCCATGCAAAAATAAAAATAAAAATCTAATAATTAACTAAATGTATAAAAATGGAGTTTAGTTTTCACACAACTTATTGATAAATTAATTTTATGTAATTGATAATTTAGTTGGCACTATTAAATTAAAAACTAAATGTAGAGTTGTTATCAAAGTTAAGAACAGGATATAGTTAAATTATTAGTTAAAGACTAAATCTGAAAATATCATGATTAAATATAAATTGATCTATTTTTATTCATGACTGAGGTATTCCCTTGGTTGATTAAGAGTAATGTTACTTTTTTATTTATTTATTTATTTAAAAAATCACTCTCTCATATTCACTTTCATCAAAACGTCAAAAACCATGTTTGATTACTCAGCGGTTTGGAATAGCAGTTTGCTCCAATATTATTTGAAAAATCCAAATATTCTCTCAATTATAGCCTCATGGATGAAAGAGTAATTTGGATTACAAAGAAAATATCTTTGGAAATTACGAACCCTCACCAAATTCGGAGCATATATAGTCTAGAGAGAAGTTATTTTTAGAGAGATGATTACATTTTGATTAAAAAACATCTTTGTACAAGTTTTACCAGAAATACTCTAAAAAAAATTCTCTCAAGATATTTATCTACAATATGATTTTTCAATGATCTTGAAGATAAAAAAAAAAATTATAACTCGTATTCCATATTAGTTGTGGTGCACTGGTGGGTGAATCAGTGAGTCGCACAGTAACGTTTAAGACCTCCGAGCTAATCAAAACAACTATGGTACGGTGTCTTGCAAATTTCGTACATACTATACAGTGTGTGGTATAGCACATACTAGTGAGATTGTTCTCTTACCGTTGGTAGCGGGTTAGATTTACGATTGGTAGTCCCCCAGGCCAAGTGTAGATGTTGTTTGCACATAATTGAGTAAACAAATCTTTGTTGATTTTCTTTACATAGTGTTTGATTAGTTTTTGTTTCACAATTGATAATCTGACTTGTTAACTGCATAACCATGAATCAGTAAGTATAATATGAAAACACAGTTAAGTAATCTCAATAGTAATTAAGTAAATTCGAGGGACAAACGCACTGAAATCTAATAAAACATATCGATCACTCTATATGTAATTTTTACTTAAAATAGTCCATTGTCCAAACCAAAATAGTCCTGGTTAGGACTATTTTGGTTAACAATTACATACTTGAGAATGAAATTGAGCAAGTTTGAAAGTCGAAGACCAAAGTAGTGAAATTATAATAGTCGAGGGACCAAATCATGTATTAACTCAGTGTAAATATATAGCCAAATTACATATACATGTAAGTGCTAATAGATCATTACGAAAAGAAAAATGTTAGTTGTAAATCATAATGTAACATGCTATAAAGATGGCACAAAATACACTTGATCAATTATCAGTAAAAAATGAGATGTTCAAAGAGGCACAGAAAAAAACATGCAATATTAATTGTGAATGAAATGATAGGCTTAAATTAGTAACTTCTAGGATAGTATATAACTTAAGAATTCAAAGTCTATAATTTTGATCTTAAAAATGAGGAAGCAACAAACTTACAAGATGCATTTGACTTTTGTAAGAAGGTTAATTGACTCAAAGTAAGATAAGACAAATTACACTAATATGAATGCTAAGAGAAAAAAAAAAAAAAAAAACATTAACGAGGTTTTTATTACAAATTGATATTTGAGATGTTGAAGATATGAGTGAAAGAATTTGTGAGGATGATGTCATTGGCATAGCAAAGAAGTATGAGTTGAGTGTGGAACTCGTAAGTGTATACAGAGATAGTTAGCATTTCGACTATTATATAATCTATAAAAGACAAATGGTATGTATTTGGCAAAGCAAATGCGTGATTTTTGCTTGAGATCTTAAACTTACTTGTGTAAGTTAAAGACGTGTAGAAAAATTGAGATGAATAACCTTAACTTTTTCTTAAGATACAACTTTTTTCCTTAAAGAAGTACTTTAAGAAATACGTTTTTAATATATATCTAATAAATGTGATAGTATTTATATAGACGTGACAAGAGAGAACACGATGAACCGTGACAAAAAAAAATTAATTAATTAATTATATATATATATATATATATATATATATATATATATATATATATATTGAAAAACATAGTTGATATTTATATTGATAATTCTAACATTTTCACCCTCTTGTTACTAAATAGGCCTTGGCTTGAAGCATTCAAGAGTCTTGTGGGCAAGCATTCAACAGTCTTATATGATTTATTGCCTCTTTACTCAATAAATGCATTTATGCCCTCCAAGGCTCCAACATTCATGAGCGATCTGGGATGGACTAAAAATTAAACCATCATATATATATATATATATATATATATATATATATATATATATATATATGTATATATATATATATATATATATATATATATATAAAGAGAGGGAAACTCAAAGGGGTAACTCCAAGTGGCAAATGAGTTTCTTTGTAGGGATGATCCTCGAGATAATCTGAGTTTGATTCCCGCAAGTGACAATTTTCTTTTGGGCAACTCCTATATATGCCCAGAACACACCGTGATTCTCATATTTACATGAAATCAAATTATGATTTCATATATATGCCAGTGTTACATTATATAAACATTTCAATACTTAAATTAAAGCTCAGTCTGAATTTACAAATAAAACTCTAACAGGGCGTTTGGTTGGAGAGAGAGAATTACGTGGGAAAGGATTTGCAATTCTATGGGAGATGAATTACTGGGAATAAAGTGAGAATTTCAATTCCAATGTTTGGTTGACAGGAATAGAATTATTGGGAATTTCAATTCCAATGTTTGTATACATGGGGATTGAAAGGGAATAAGTATTATAAAGTCCAAAATGTCCATGGTTGTTGTTAATCATTAATTTTAAGTTAAAAAATGGATGGGTAATTTTGACTTGTTATTATCTTTTTTTTCTTCCTAAAATCCCAATAATTAAAATACCAGGGAAGGACATGGGATTTTAATTCCATGAAAATGGAGGAATTGCAATTCCATGGAATTACAATTCCTTTCAACCAAACAAGAGAATTTTGTGGTCTTTGGAATTAGGTGGGAATTAAGTGGGAAGGAAATTTAAAATTCCTTCAACCAAACGCATTGTAAGTGATAAATTAAAACTAGTCTAAATAGTCTATCTATCAAAAGACAAGGCTTTATATATATGGTAAATTATACTTTGCAATAAAATGACAAGATGAGTAAAGTGGTAGTGGATAACATTTGTTATGCAATAAGTTCAAATTTTAATGTGAGCAAGTATGTAGTTATTTATTTTAGACATATTAATGTAATATATTGATGGTAAAAATAATTAATTTTAAATATTTATAAAATAATATATGAGTTCAATAGTAAATATCATGATATAATAGTCTTGGTTAAGTTAATGGTTATAAACACAATACTACAAGAGACCTCACAAGTATTTTGACCACCTTTAATTTGTTAAAAAGTATAGACAAATAAATGTGACATTAATTTGTTTTGGCTTTTCAAAAAATGTGACATTAACTTTGATTTATTTTAATTAATTTGGTGGTAAATTGTGATTCATTAACAGTTTATTTATGAAATTTACTACTCCGTAATAATAATAATAAAAATAAATTGAGAAGAGAAGAGAAAAATTGGCACTTGTTTTTATACGGTACAGAAGAAAGAGTTTCTTGGGCGGGGCACGGGATTGTTGTATTCTTCCCCTTTATCTCTCCTTCCTTCAATGCTTTACCCAACTTCTCACCACTCCCATTTCTCCCCTCTCAGCTCTCTTTCCCTTCTTCCACCGCCGCCTCACCCTCCATCCTCACCCCTTAAGGTCCTTGCTATTTCGTTTTTCATGAATTTATTGCTTAATTTTTGTGTTTTTTCCTTGAGTGTAACGCTTGTTTTTCCAGGCTGTAACTGTAATGGAGTGCGTTGAATTAGGTAGCTTTCTTAGGCCACAGGCGGCCTTGAAAATGATTCACCAGCAAGGCTATTTGGAGAATGAGTTTGCGGCGGCGGCCGGTAACGGTCAGGGCGGTGTCGCCGCCATTTCCGGCGATGACTTGTTCGTGGACCAGCTTCTTAACTTGTCTAATGAGTTTGTTGAGGCGGAGGCGGAGAAGGAGGAGGAGAAAGTGGAGGAAAAACGTGTTGAAAATTTATCTGTAACGCTTGTCTCTGCTTCGCCCCAAAAAGAAGCGGAGACCGTTACTTTTCCGGTGACGGATGATTTTGCTGGTTCTATTCCCGGTAGCGAGCTTAGTGTTCCGGTGAGTTTGCCTTTTTTGAATTTATTATTGTTTGTTTAGTATTAAATTTGGTTTAATTTCAAAAAATTTGGTTTAATTTCTGTTATCTTTTCCAGGCGGATGATTTGGATAACCTGGAATGGTTATCTCATTTTGTGGAAGCGTCATTTTCCGATGAGTACTCGCTCACGTGTCCTGCCGGAAAACTGTTGCCCTTACCTTCGGAGGAGAATAACCACCTCTCCCGGTCTGAAATTCCGGTTCAAGGCAAACCGGGCTTCATCTCCCCTGTTCAGACCAAGGCCCGGACAAAACGTGCCAGAACCGGCGTCCGAGTTTGGCCGGTCGGAGCACCACCGTCATTCACAGAATCCTCAGTCTCATCGTCTTCTTCGTCTTCCTCTTCCTCAACCACCACCTTATCGTCCTCGCCTACAAACCGGTGGTTTGCGCAGTGCAATTCCGGTCAGCTTATAGGGAAGCCGGTGGCGAAGAAGCCGGGCATGCAGTCGGCTCAGCAGTCGCGGCGGTGCAGCCACTGCGGCGTTCAGAAGACGCCGCAGTGGCGCGCCGGTCCACTCGGCGCCAAGACGCTCTGCAATGCCTGCGGAGTAAGGTTCAAGTCCGGTCGGCTCTTGCCGGAGTATCGACCGGCTTGCAGCCCCACCTTCTCCCGCGAGCTGCACTCTAACAACCACCGGAAAGTTTTGGAGATGCGGCGGCAGAAGGAGGCGGAAACCGAACCCGGTTTGGCTTCTCCGGTTCAGAGTTTTTGAATTAGGATAGAATTTAGAAGAGTAAACCGAAAGTAGTATATTATTATTCATTTGAAGTAGGATTAGTTCGAGTTATGGTTAGGCCCGGTTCAGTGTACATTTTCTGAAGTGGACCCGGTTAGGTGCGGTAGGTTTTGAAGGTTAGTGTAACGGATGCGGAAGGACTTCATTGTACTTTCAGTTTAAAAAGAATTTATTTCTTCACATTTATATACATTATTATTATGACGGTGTAAAAATTAATTTACTTTTTACCTCAAAATTCAAGTACAACAATGCCATAAAAAGTTATTAATTCAACACGGACAGGTAAACTAACCTCTATAAACAATAATATAATTTGTGGAGATTAAATAGGTAGTTAAGACTCTGTTCACCGGATCCAATTAAAAGCTAGTTTAAAGTTTAAAAATTAGATGTTAGAAGTTGAAAGGTTTTATGATATTCTATATAGGTCTTATTTAATAAAATAGTTAGTTTATCGGTCAATTTTGTCATTATTAGCTGTTTGACTTGGTTAAACAATTAATATGAACGTTTGATTAATTAGCTTTTTGTACAATTTATTGTTTTAAAATGTTAAAATTTAAAAAATGTTCAAACTAATTTTTTCGATCAGCTTTTTGAGAAAGTTATTTTTGTATGTAATCAATAGTTAATTTACCAAATATTTTTTTACAATACGCTAATGTTATCAACTAGTCAAATAACTAATCCAATCAGGTAAGTTCTATTTATCAAACATATGAATCCATGGACTAATCATATTTATTATTATTTTTTAAATGTAAAGTAGTAGGGGTAAAAGTGAAAACTACTAAAAGCTATGGGCATTTTCCCCAATTTGTAATGGAAGAATCATCTAAAATTAAGAATGTTTTTTTTGGTCAACCTGTAGTTGACAAAGAAAATTTGTAATCACTAGCCAATTTAAACGATGATATATTGAGTAAACTTTACTTTTAAGACTCTGAAAGTTTAATTATACCTCAAAATAAGTTATAGAATTTTAAAATTATCATGCTAAGCCGCAAGTAAGGTTGCAGGCTGTGTAATTGTGTTCTCCGAGAATCCGTTTGATGATGTTGTTGTTGGAACAACTCACTTTCCTAACAAGAAATTTCAATTGGAAAGTAAGAACTTGGTGAGAGCGGTAGAATATTTCAGTTTTACGGCTATTGTTAAAAGTAGTTCAATCTCACTCTGAAAATCGCACTCTGGATATCAAAATCGGGTAATTTGTATATTTGAAAAAATAGAAAATATAATTTGATGAGGAGGAAGATGATGATGTTGGTAGTGGTGTTGGAAACGGTTCAAACATTTGTGATGAGGGCGTTAAAAAGCCAAAACAATATGAGTATATGAGGGAGGGCTTTAGATGCCAAAGACAAAAAATAGCACACAAAGGGAAAGAGGAGTTGGGGGTTGTCTATGGCGTAAGGTATAAGCATTCTTTAACAATGGAAATCACAATGGATGGCTTTCCATCCCTCATTTCCCTCTTTTTTTTTTTTTTTTTTTTTTTTCTTTTCAATAATGAATTTATTATGAATTTCGTGTGGGGCACTACGTTTAATGTTTGGTTTGAATTTTGTGCATTGTTTACATTTATTGTGTCTTATAAAACTCATTTTTATATATTCAGTGATAAATATAATTGATTGATTTTATCACAAATTATAGAATTGGTAATAAAAATACTTTCTAACACGAGAATTATGCTTCAGTCATTTAGGGAAAACTATTCAGTGGATCCGGGTCTACATTGTAAGGTAAACCAGAGTTCAAAATACACAATTTATATACTGAATGCTCACAATTTTATAAAAAAATAAATTAGGAAAGTTTAGTATGTAAATTGTGAACATTCAGTATGCAAATTGTGTATTTTCTATTCGAGTCCACCATACCATGATCCATGGTATAACAATTGAAACTCGCATGGGCAGCTCAACTGGTCATAGAGGTGAAACTTTGGAAGAATGAACAGGGATCAAGTCTCACCAGCGGCAGTGTGGGAGCTACCTCTCAAAGTGAGGGGGTTCCTTGTGCGTGCGCAGTGAGCAAAGGTCTAGCCTCTGTGGTTCATGTTCAGTTGAGTTGCCATGATTTATATTTTCACAAATGCTCTGTCAGGTTGGGGTTCAAACCTTTTGGAAGAATGGTATAACAATTGAATTATAAGAGTCTCGAAATGATGAGGACGACGGGTTCAAACCAAAGGAGAAAAAACTATGGAAATATCTACAAATCCAGCGGGGATTTTGCCTACAAATTGGTCCCTTTTCGTCTTGCTTTATGTATATATATTTGTTGGGTGTGTTTGAGATCAGAGGTGCTTAATTTAGTGAGAGGATTCACATACTTTATGTGAAGAGAGAGAGAGAGAGAGAGAGAGAGAGAGAGAGAGAGAGAGAGAGAGGAGTAGCTTCCAAAGTATGAAGAGAATGACGTGATGATCTTGGGTGGTATGTATAGTAGGTTCAGTAAAGGTGTATTGTATACTGGAGGGAATCCAGGTTATGCCAAATTTTATACTACATGGTAAAACAGAGTTTGCATACAAGGGAAATATGTTACTCCGGGTATTCATTTTTTATTTTAGTTCTATGTATCCCATGTTAATAGAATTTTAGCTATTTAAAGTTCTATCATAATAGATTAGCCAGCCAAGCACCTTGTGCTCATATGGTATATAGTGATTCTCCCATATGAAAGGTTATGAGATTAAGTTTCAGTGTAAGCGAAGAAAAGTATAGATGAATAGAATAGAGTCACTATTTTTAGTTAAAAGATATTTTTGTGATTCTTTATTTATCTTAGGGAAAATGGCACTTTTTACCCCTGAGTTATATATTTATAGCACTTCTTCCCCCTCAATTATTTAGGTAAGCACATTAGCTCCCTCAATTATTCTAAAAGTGGTGCTTTTCCCCCCTAATATATTAAATTGACATTTATACCCTTAAAGTAAACATTTTATTTATTTTACTACTCCAACAAATTATTGCGTATACGTAGGGATGACCACGGTTCGGTTTGAAATGAACCGGATACTAAAGCAATCGAATTAATAGTTTACGGTTATAATTCAGATCTAGAACCCAATATTTAAATGTCAATTTATTAAAAATATGTATCAAAAAAATGGAATCTTGAACCGTGAACCGGCGGTTCCGGATCTGATTCGCGATTTTGAACTGTCTTTATTTTAAAATTTTATTTTTTATTTTAAAATAGTCTAAATTCAACAATAAATGTATTTTATTTTTTCAGTTCAGAACATGAACCGTCCATTCCGGTTCATGATTTTAATAAACTCTAAATATCGAATTTCGATTCTAAATTGTAATTGGAATATTTCGGTTTGGTTGCTATAGTGTTTGTTTAGTTTGAGCCAAATTATGGTCATAATTTGTTGGAGAAAAAAAATAAATTAAATATTTAGTTTAAGGGTAAATATGTCCATTTAACATTTCAGGGGGAAAAACAACCACTTCAATAATTTAGGGGAAAAAAATACTATAGGTATATAACTCAGGGAGAAAAAGTGTCATTTTCCCTTTATCTTATTTCTCATCTTTTTTCAACTAGTTTCCGGATTATTATTACCATCACCACAACCACCAAAACCACTACCGATTTCTTCTATGAGACCGTCTCACGGAGTTTCATCCGTGAGAAGGGTCAAATTTTGGATAAGTATTACATTTTTTCACATAAGTATTACAATTTTCATCATAAGTAACTCTTCAACTCTTAATATTACATTTTGATTTAAAAGTATGACATTTTTTCATCAAAAGCATCACATTTTAAGTCCTAAGTATTACACTATCTCTCATAAGTAACAATTAAATAATTTATTATTTATGTTTAGTATTACATTTTTTTTCTCATAATTAACTATTCAACCTTAAATATAACATTTTGATTTAAAAGTAGTATTACATTTTTCCTCAAAAGTATTACACTTTTTGTAACAAACAATTTATTCTTGATTAATATTACATTTTATAGCATATATAAGTATTAGGGATAAGGGTCAAATAGACCCTCCAACTACATAGCAAAGTGCAATTAGCCCCTCCAACTAAAAAAACATTCAATTAAACCCTTCAACTTATTAAAAGTGTGCATTTATCATTTTTAACAAGTTACCAAAAGGTTACCAATTAATTTTGCTTGCTTGGCATCTACATGGCATTTCATTTAAATATTTTAAAAAACTTAAAAAAAAAAAAAAAAAACCACCGGCGAAGGATAAGCCTCAACGCCGTCAGATTCATTTGAACAGAGAAAATGGCTTCTCTTCTCCGTTAGCTCTCCGTCCAAATATACCCTTCTTCTTCATGTTCTTCCTCATCGTCTTCTTGTTTCTTGTCACCAACAACGCAAGTGTATATTTGGACGGTGATTCTGGGAGGAGCAGGCTTTTGCGGAGGACGCGGCGGGGGCGCTGGGGGGCTGTGTCTGGCCGCCGCGATCTTACACGTGCAGCTTCTGCCGGCGAGATTTCCGGTCGACGCAAGCCCTCGGAGTCGGAGGTCACATGAACGTGCACAGGAGATGTGTTCCCAACGCTAATAATCCGACCTTAATACCTAAGTACACTCCTCCCGCCGCCGCCGCCACCCGGTACCCTTCTGTACAGCCACAACTCGGATTCAGATCACTGGATTAGGGTTTCTAATATTGCCCCAGAACAATATAAGAACGAGGGCTTGTCGGTGGCTAGTAAACGACGTTTTTGTTTAACCCCGGATGTGAATAACGGGGAGGAGGAGTTGAAAGTGTTGCTAGATTTAAGGAAGAGTGCCGTCATTGATGATGAAGCAGAAAACAACCTGAAAATCGTGGATTCCTCTAGTTGTAGGGATCATAAAACGAGGACGATGTTGCTGACGACAAGAAGGGCGACAGACGAGGATGTTTCAAGCTGCAGCAAGAGAAGGAAAATAGATGCGAATAATCCAACGTTTGGTTTGTTCCCCAAACTGGGTTCCAGTATCCTCGCCAATCCCATAGAAGAATTGGATCTGGAGATAAGGCTGGGTAGTGATCCTCCAAAGGTGAAATAAGGAACCAAAATGGATAGTTTATTGGAACACTTAATTTCCTGTCTCATTACTCACCTCATCATCAGTATGTTTTCTACTTTTCTCCCTCTTTTTCTTTCTGCTTTGTTGATCAAAGGCTGAAAAGCTTGGACGGAGAGCTAATGGAGAAGAGAAGCCAGTTTCTCAGTTCAAATTAATCCGACGGGGTCGTGGTTTATCCTTCGCCGGTGACTTTAGTTTTTTTTTTTTTTTATTTTTTTATTTTTTGTAGTTTTTAAAAAACTATATATATATATATATATATATATATATATATATATATATATATATATTTATTTATTTATTTATTTATTTATTTATTTAAATGAAATGCCACGTAGATGCCAAGCAAGCAAAATTAATTGGTGACCTTTTGATAACTTGTTAAAAATGGTAAATGCACACTTTTAATAAGTTGAAGGGTTTAATTGAAGGTTTTTTTAGTTGAAGGGGCTAATTGCACTTTGCTATATAGTTGGAGGGTCTATTTGACCCTTATCCCTAAGTATTATTACATTTATATCTTGACATGGCTCAGGGTTCAACTTCTAACGGTAACATTGTTATTTTTTTCTATTTTTTATTTTATTTATTTTTTTTTATTTTTTATTTTTGAATGGGAGGGAGTGAGGGACCAAAGGGTCCCAGAAAGATTTAGTAGATTCTTCTTGTTGGCACGCCACAAGCTTCCATCTCCAGGATACTTCTAACGCCATCTGGCGGGAGGGATAGAGTAGTGGTTCCCCATCTGGCGAGAGGGATATTATAAAACTAATTTTTATAGTATAATTCCATTATATAATAATTTAAAAAATTGCAAAAGTATATACAAGTGCGGAGCTACAGTGGGAGCAGTTGCCCCCCTCCCCCCACCCCCACGCCATGTATAGCCATTGTAAATATATATGTATATATAATACATGTTTTCCAGTATAACTATAAAAAAATAGACAAATGTAAATTAGAGATGAGTTAGACTAGTTGGTACATAATTACATGTTTGACTCTAGACTAGAAACTAGAAAATGTTAGGAGTTTGAATCCTATTAGTTCAACATAGTTTTTTTTAGGCAACCAAAATTTATGATTTTTTTTTAAAATATTAATAGTGAGATTCACACACACACACATATAAAACCTTTTTTTATATTAATAATGAGATGTGTAATTTATAATTAATGTGTTTTCTATTTGAATTATTTTATTAAATTAATTATGTTTCATATTTTGTAATGTATATTTTTATAAAGTTTTGATGTGTTTTATTTTTCACGCATATTCAATAATATTTATGGTTATACTTCTTTAAGTGTTCCATTTTTTTTTTCAAACTATCTCTTTATTTTAATGTTTCGCTCTCATTAAAAAAAAAAATCTGAATCCGTCCATGAGTATATATTTCTTTTTCACAATCACATATTGCTGTAATACACGCAGTAAGTACACTATAATGCCTTCTTTGGTGTTACAATCTATCTTTAACTTATAATTGCCAATTAATTAGACGTAATTTTCTTAACAAATATTAAACAAACATGTTTTCTTAAGAGCAAAAAAAAAGTTTACATTACAGTACAATATTATGGTTGTAGTCACACATTGCTTGCACGTTACAATTTAATGCCATTTTTCTAGCTTTAATTAAGTGGCTTATTATGGTGCGTTATAATGTCGTCTCAATTATTTGTAATTTCAAGACAATAATGGTTATATCATATTACAAATTTGGAGCACATGCATCAACATAATTAACAGTACGTGTATGAGGTGCAAATTATCCATCACCAACTAATGACATTGAAGCCATTTCTTTCTATCTATATAATTATATATGTTAAAAATGAAAGATTTGTATTTCTACACAATATAATTGTTGTTTTAGATAAATAAATGAAAGTTGTATGTATTTAATTGCATATAAATTTTCGTAAATAAATTAATAAAATTTATAGATATTTAGACTACTAGACTTGTCAACAATTTTATTGATTAAGTCCGTTGTATGATAAAAAATTAAAAATGAATTAACACTTATAAATTTAAGATAAAAAATAAAATTTATTTTGTTATATTATAATTTATACTGACATTAATCACCTTCCATGTGTTATATCATGTTACAAACTAAGTAAAAGATGAACAATAATTCAAAGCAAGATTTAACAAAATGACTATAATCACGGATACTCATTAGCTATATTGTGCCCTAATTTTGTGACAGGAAATTGTTTGAGACTAAAATGATTGGTGACTTAAAATTACATTTTTTTTTTCCATTCCGATAATATATTGCATAGAAAAATACAATACTCCTAATCATCTCGATATATGTATATGAAAAAACAATCTTAATAGTAAAGCTGAAAATATGAGCTTTGCGTAGCTTTTTGCAAAATTGGGGACAGAAATCACTTTCGAACCTAAGCTACTTTATACAAACTGTTGACTCATCAGAAACATTGATAGTGTTGATTGGTAACAAGTATTGACTAAGGGACAGTGATCAGTGTTGTTGTCGAAGATAGGTTAAAAAGCAAGAAATGGATCATATACTAGGTGTTAAAAAAAAAAAAAAAAAAAAAGCTACACAACATTTTTCACAACCCCTACATTTTCCAATATTATATTCCGGTCCTTATAATACTACTTTTACGCTACCCCTTTTACCTTGGCTATGCTTGTAAAAATATTGGAATTCCTCCTCATTTGATAAGCAATATAGCTTCGAAAGGATATGATCCTTTAGTCAACTGGCCCATCCTTATCACCTTTTATATTGATATCCTTAATTATTGTTGTTAATTGAGTTCTCATGTGTATGGGGATGGGGTGTAAATACTGGAGGGATGGCGTCTAAAGTGCATCGAGGCTGAAAGTTTAAGCGGCAAAGTGTGATGTGGTATAAAGTACATGGTGCCAAATCGCAAAGAGGAAAAACAAGCTAAGGGTGTGTTTGTCAACACGAAATGTATCAAAAACCAAGAAAATGTCATCGCATGAGTTGATTAAGTAAGGAGTTGGCTAGGGTTGGTGGACTGTAGCTGACCATCGCATGCACCTGGTGGACATGCACAAAGGCGAGGTGCCATACGACATTGCCCTACTTGTTGGCTGGTCCAGCGAGCTAGCTAGCTGGTTTGCCATGATTTGATGCACCACCAAGGCTTTGGTTGGACTCTGCGAGCCACATACAGAATTATGAATATTTAGTATGTAAAATTGTGAACATACAGAATGTAAATTGTGAACATTCAGTAGGTAAATTGTGTACTTTTGAACCCAGATCTACCTTGCAAGGTGGATCCAGGTCTACAAAATAATTTGTCATAATTGAATGACAAATTATTGTGTGAACCATGAATTCAATATATATTTTTAATATACTAAAAGTACATTATTTGTGTACTAAATGTACATTATTTGATAATATATTAAAAATTTTATATTTTCAAATAATGTACTTTATTTATACAAATAATATACATTTAATATATTAAAAATGTACTTTTTATTTATAGCTCACACACATGTGTGGACTATGGTCCATGGAAATGGAATAATGATTGATGATTGAATCACAAGATCAAGTCGGTCCTAATACTCAATTGGGTCATTTAATTCCAATGGCCGCCGGCCCATTTAATTGGATATTTTGATTCAATTAATTAAACTATTGATCCATTGGTACCATTATTTAAAGCTATCGAATTAATTAGGTTTAAGTGTTTAACCAATTCATTCAATGGACTCTAACTAATGAAGTCTCGACTAAGAACATGATCTTTTTACTAGGGATGGCAACGGGGCGGGGTGGTACCGGGGAATGGGGTCCCCGCCCCCGTTCCCGAAATGATTCCCCATTCCCCGTTCCCGTCCCGTTCCCTCCCCATCCCCGTCCCCGTGGAGTTTTTTCGGGGACGGAGAATCTCCGCCTCATTTTTTGTAATTTGACAATGAACTTGTAAATTGTTCAAATCTCAGCAACTTCAAATCATAACTCATAATTGAAACTAAACATATAATTTTTACATATATAAGTAAACATATAAGTAATAACACCAAAGTGCAGTAACAATATGTAATAACAATATGTAAGTCAACATATAAGTAATAATAACATAGTGTAATTTTTACATACAGATTCTGTTTTAAATTTTTAAATAAAAAAACAATATAAGTAAACACATATATTTGTAAATCTCTAAACGAAATTCGACAGAAGGAAAACAAAGATGAGTGAATATATTTTGAATTTTGTTTATAAGTTTTTTATTAATATTATAAATATTATATATATATATATATATATATATATATATATATAATATTATATTATATTATATGGGGAATCGGGGACGGGGCGGGGATCGGGGGCGGGGTCAATTTCCCCATCCCCGCCCCCGTTCCCCGAAAAAATTTCCCAAACCCGTCCCCATCGGGGCGGGGATCGATTTTCCCCGTCGGGGACAGGTTGAATTGCCATCCCTACTTCTTACCGAATAAAACTAGTCATTATTTTCAAAAAAAAAAAAAAACTAGTCATTATTATTTTCAAAAAAAAAAAAAACTAGTCATTATGGATCCTTGTAAGAGATAAAAGACCTTAATCATTTACAAGCCATGGCATTAGTGCCCAACCACTTCATCAATCACCTTCTTCGTGTTCATTATAGTTCATAAGATATGTATATATATAAGATCCATCTACATGTAATAGAAACTTGAGTTCAAGAAAGTAAATATATGGTTTATGTGGTGTACGTATGTCTCATATGTACTGAAGAATGCTAGGTGTTGGTATATTATCGAATTATGTAAACATTATCATCTTTAGTAAGTGACAAAAACTTGTGTTAGAATGTCTCACGAATCCTTGTCCGTGAGATGGGTCGTGTCAAGATGAAAATGTAATAGTTATACTGAAAAAGATAATACTAATCAGAAATAAAGTATTTATTGCTTGTATGAGAATGTGTAATACTTTTGAAGAAACATGTAATACGTACTTTTACATTTTGATTTAAAAATATAACATTTTTCATCGATCATAAGTATTACATTTTCTCTTATAAGTAACAAACATTTGCCAACATTACTTATAAAAGAAAGTGTAATACTTTTGATAAAAAATGTAATACATTTTCTTCAAAAGTATTAAATTTTTCCAAGTAACAAACACTTTAATTTATTTGTACATTTTTCAATATAAGAAAAGCAGTAATAAGCACTCAAAAAACAACACTGGTTTATTTCATTAATTAATATTTGGTATTACAAAGTACAAACAACAATTTCTTATAGTTAATCATCAAACAAATAAAAATTCAAAATGGAATATTTCGCGTTGTGTAATATATAATCTCTAGCTACATACAATTCTAACAAATTATTTGTCATATAACATATTTTGCGTAACGGATAATAATAAAAATATTAATGAAATATTTGTTCATGCATGTTTTATGTCTCTTTATGCCCATTTGTACTTAGTTTCCCGGGGGCGGATAACCACCGCAACCCCAACCCCAACCCCAACAACCACCTTGGTTGTTACCTCCTCCGCCACCACCACCTCCTCCGCCCCCACCCCATCCCCAACCACCACCTTGTCCGCCCCCACCGCCACCGCCACCTCCACCTCCACCTCCTCCTCCGCCTCCATTTCCTCCTCCACCGCCTCCACCACCTCCTCCTCCCCATCCATGCCCTCCGCCATTTCCTCCCCCGCCACCACCTCCACCACCACCTCCTCCGCCCCCACCTCCACCACCACCTCCTCCTCCTCCTCCTCCGCCCCCACCTCCTCCATTCTTCCTTTTATGCCCTTTCTTTCTTCTTCCTCCTCCACCTCCACCTCCACCTCCACCTCCTCCTTTTCCTCCACCGCCACCACCACCACCACCACCACCTCCTCCTTTTCCTCCACCCCCGCCTCCACCTCCACCTCCACCTCCACCTCCCCCACCATTATACATCGGACTCGCCACAAGCTCACTTGCAGAAGCACCTTCATTACCTGGCCGTGGGTGGTAGTGTACGGCGGCGGAAAAGTTCCTATTAGAAGCATTTACGTTAAAACTCGAAAGCCCATTGTCCCCTGGAGCTGCTCGACGACCCATCACAGCCCCATCGCCAAACAATGGATAATGAACCACTAATGCAAGCAACAATAGGCCGAGCAGCCTCAATAAACCTCCCATCTTATCAATATATCTTTCTTCCAATCTCAACAATTATATTGAGACCTCTGGAATTTGCTTCACCTATTTATACTGATTGGGAAGCTCAGCTCACACTTTAGCTGGATTTATGTATGGTAGTCTGTGAAAGGTCCCCACAGCTTCAAACAATCAGACTCCTTGTAATACCTTTAATGGCTTAAAAGTGGGTACAAATATATTGAATATACTATTTTAAATTATGTGTAGTCAAAGAGATAATATTCTAAGAACTATCTCACTCAACTTTTCTAGTAATGATTGGTTAAATATGCTTGACAACTCTAATGTAATTGTTTTTGCCAAAACATGTGTGGGCCCAATAGATAATCCACAACATTTTGAAATAATATGAGGTAAATAATAAATTAAAGGTTCCATTTTATTTAATAATGAGTTAATACCCAAAATCGTCCTCGACTATAGTGATTTTTTTCAATTTCGTCCTAAACGACTTTGGTGACCTAATATTGTCCCAGACTTTTGTGTTTCGCTCAATTTAGTCATCAATTTGTTATTCCGTCAAATTGGTGTTAAATAAAGGGACAATTCAGTAACGTCGATATTGATCTCTCTTTACTTTCAACTTGTGAAGTGCGAAATTCCTCTTTCTTGTACGAATTACACCCAGAATTACTCCCGGACCTATAAATCAAATTTTATATTCGCAGTTTTAGGAGTAATTCGTAAAAAAAAAAGGGATTTCGCGGTTCACATGTCTATGAGTAAAGAGATGCCAATATTAAAATTACTGAATTGTCTATTTATTTAACACCTAATAGACAGAATAACAAATGATGGACTAAATTGAGCGAAACACAAAAGTCTGGGACGATATTAGGACACCAAAGTCATTTAGAACGCAATTGAAAAAAACCACTATAGTCGATGACGATTTTGGGTATTAACTCATTTAATAATCTTATAACAAAATTCTTTTAAGTGTATTGAAGTATAGTTTCATGTCATGCTTATAAGTTGGTTCAAATCAATAAGTTTGACCATATGCTTTACTACTTTGATAGTCATAAATAAATCATTAAAAGTCATTAACAACTTAGTCTATGAATTTTATGAATTGAGTCAATTGATTGACTATAAGTAATCTAAACTCATTTATTTTCATATAATTTTTTATTAGACAGTTAGGATTATAAAGCGAGAGACTCTTAGATAATGTTCATAGAATTCATCAAGTTGAGATGGAAGTTATGGACGGCTTTTGCTTGACGAATGAGATTTGATTGGAGAAGTTGAAGAAGCTGCTGGTTTTCAATTCATATCATGAAGTGTAGTCCACGTGAAGGGAAGGGATGAACGATATTAAAAAATCTATGTATATTAAAAAAAAAAAAAAGTTACCAATTTACGACTTATATTTTTGGGTATTCTAAAAATTGGCTAGTACAGTGCCATCCAGATAAGTTCCACTATCCAATTCTTGACTTACCCCCATGTGAGGGTTACATTCTTTTTCATCATTCGTACCCATGTGAATGTTGAATATAATTTTCGTTTTCTTTAAGCATTTCTATGACTATTGGCTTATAAAATAAGGCGGAGTAAGTAGAAATGTCATTGGGGCAGGGCAGGGTATACCCTCATCCCAGTCCCGATTTTTTACTTCATTTCTCATTTCAGTCTCCCTATATATTTTTAGGGTCGAAACGAGGTGAGGAGAGTACTTCTTATCCTCGCACCCGTCCCTGATGAAGAAGTAAAAACCCTCTCCATTATAGACTCTGTTTCCTTATTTTTATTCCCATCCCTGTCAAATTAAGAGTCGGCCGGCTTCTCATGTGATATAGATACAATAAAAATAAAATGCATACATGGTTAATGGGTTTAGAGGTTTGTATAATGCATGTGGATGTGGAAGTGGGTTTTGCAATGATTAATATGTCCCAATTAAATGATATGGTGGGGCAAAAGCCGTGGCCCGTGTTACCTAATGAATGGGCCAAGCATAGGCTAATCAAACAACCGCAAATTATTGCGTGTACCCTAGTGGCAATTTATATCCTACACCACAGCGCGCGTTGCACTATGCGCCCAGATGCAAAACGACGTCGTTTTAATTATTTTTTTTTGAAATTTCCCGCCCCAGTGAATGGCAGTAGTTTTTTCTTTAAAAAAAACTCGTTGTTCAAGAATGTACATAATGTTATACTAGAATACACATAATGTTATACATGAATGTACATAATTATATAACAAAATATACATACTCTTTTTAAAAGATAATACACATAATTTAACATAATACATAATAAACATAAACTTTTAACATAATACACATCAACTCTTAACATAATACACACAAATTTTCTGATTCGGATGTACATAATTGTATAAAAAGAATGTACATAATTGTATAAAAAATACACATAACTGTATGAACCAATACACATAACGTTGTGAACAAATACACATTACGTTGTGAACAAATACACATAATCTCAGCAACTTCCTACCGCGCCTCCCAACACTACCCCAAAACGACATCGTTTTGGGAGGCGCGCGGCGCACAGTGCTATGTGCGCCGTGGTGTAGGATATAACGATTGTACCCTGGTCCGCACAGATGGCCACAATTCAAAACCACGTCATTGAATATTATAAGTAAGAAAAATGTATATTATGTGTTAAAATAATATACATTGTGTGTTAGAATAATGTACTTTGTGTTAGAATAATATACATTACATGTTAGAATAATGAAATTTCTAGGGGTAATATAATGTACATTATGTTTTAGAATAATGTACATTATGCTCTACAATAATTTACATTATGAGTTATAAAAATATATGTTGCAGCGGGTCGCGTAAAAAAAAAATTACTCAAAAAACATCTTTTTTTAGATTGTGATCCACACAGTTGTCCTTTGAATTTCTTCTAATTGCATTTGTTGTAATTTAGTTTTAAAAAAGAATTTGGCCAAATTTAACTTAGATTTTTAATGAGGTAACGGGTTATAATACTCTATTTAATTTGTGTATAGCATATATGCAATGATAATGTATTAAATATTCTCATTTACATATCCATATGCTGAATAATAATATATGTTTTCTTCTCCTTTACTTCCAAGTTACATTCACTTCAATTTAGAAGGTGAAGTATATAAGCATCATCATATCCCTTGTCTCGAATAAAATATATTAGTGTACTTTGTTAAAAAATATATACAATTTTTTTAAAGTCTTAAGATATGAAATTCACAAAATGATTTTGAATGCAAACCATTCACTTCATTCACCCACTCAAAAGCAATCAAATACCCACCACCCATCAAGAAGAGAGCATTGCCTCAATAAGGCCATAGTTAAGTTAGTTGAGAAGGCCGTACATTTGATTATCTCACACACGCGTACACAAACACACACTTAAATAAATAAATAAATAAAAGTCTTAATGTTCATATCCTAAGTGACGTTTTATTTTGGGGACTTGTCATTTGTCAATTACACATGACTTGAACTATTGTGTCTTTAAGAGTAAATACCCAAAATAGTCCATCGACTATAGCTAAATTCACAAATTGGTCATCGACTTTCAATTTCAACCAATTAAGTCCTTAACTTTACAATTTTAACACAATTTGGTCCTCTATTTATTTGACCGTTTGTTGACTGTCATTTTTGAGGATATATATGTAATTTCATGGTCCATCGTCGGGTTTTTAAGGTTCCGGTTGCATTTTCAGACCGCACTGTTACATTTGAATCCACTGCCGAAAGTAATCTACCAAATCCGGTCGTCTTTCTTCATCCTCCCTTTGGATTCAATGTAGTTGAGTTCGTACCAGAGCGAAGAAGAAGACGTGTTTCCGAACCGGTGCAACATCATTCTGGAGACCTCCAGGGGCTCCGACGAGAGTTGAAGGTTCTTCTGGAGATCGTCGATCACGGTCAACAAATAATCAAATAGATTGGTTAAAGACTTAATTGGTTAAAATTGAAATTTGAAGACCAATTTGTGAATTTAGTTATAGTCGAGGGACCATTTTAGGTATTTACTCTGTCTTTAATAGCTTTCGAGTTTATACTTTATTAGAATCGTAATAATCTTTATTGTGTTAGATATATTTTTTATTATGGGTTTGTCTATATTGTCATTGATATGGATAATTTATTAGCTTATGTCGCGTCTTACTCTTTTTATTGTTTTTTTTTTTTTTTTCGTTTAAACTTTTTTTTTTTTTTTTTTTTTTTTTGGGGCTGGGGAAAAGACTCAAATAGATCCTTGAAATTTACTCAAAAGTACAATTAGGTTCCTAAACTTTAAAAAAGTACAATTAAACAATTAAACTTATCATTTTGGTGCGTCTCAACCCAATAGTCGGTTATTCACCTGAAATAATCAGTCATTTAAGATTTTGGCGACATTCCAGCGATCATAAAAATTTTAACATATGTATGTATATATATATATATATATATATATATATATATATAGAAGAGTGCTCATATGTGGTCATGTCATTAGGTGTGGTCGTGTGGTCGAATCTGTGTCCTTGAATCAGTTTAATCTAACGGCAGTGGTAATTCTGAGAATTTTCGCGCGTTTTGGTAAGTGGGGGTGTTATGGTAATTACAATGGCCATTTATAGCGGGTGGGTTCCAGAATACACCAACAGTGTTGACAACATACACCAATAGTGTAATAAAACACACCACAGTGAAACACACCAATGGTGTATTCCCGTGTTATGGTAATTACAGTGGCCATTTATAGCGGTCGGGTTCCAGAATACACCAACAATGTTGACAACATGCACCAATAGTGTAATAAAATACACAACAATGTGATTTTCCCTATTCCGGTGTTTTATGACGAGTTTACCCTTGCAGTTCGCTGGGTAGGAGAATGTGCGCGAAAATACTGAAAAAATCTTGATTAATATGATTCATTGGATCTATCTAATCTAATGGCCTATAATTGACCATATGACCACACCTAACAACATGGCCACATGTGATCACCTCTCTCTCTCTCTCTCTCTCTCTCTCTCTCTCTCTCTCTATATATATATATATATATATATATATATATATATATATATATATATATATAAGAGATTAGCCCGCACTGCTGGAAAATATGGAATTTCCGACCACCTGAAAGTGATCTTAAATCAAGTCAAAAGCCTTGTTCCGACCACTTTTGGTATCCGAAAAAACCTTTGTTGCTATTTCCGACCACTTTTTGCTTTCAACTTGATTTAAGATCACTTTCAGGTGG